GATGGCTAAAATCTAGACGGGACTTTTTGACGAAAATACTTCGCTTAGCAAAATAGTATGTCAATGTGTAATTGCAAGAAACGATTTATGAATAAACTGACATGATCTTGTAAAAAATCCGTGAATGTTGAAAACGATATTAAATGCAGACTTACATCCACTAAGTAACTGAGGAAAATCATTATACACTAGGCAGATGTTTTTTCACAGTAGATACAAATTTTTGCTTGACAATATCACTTTTCTATTGAGTTACATGACAAACAACCGTAAACATTCTAAAGGTAATGTAATATGATAGAAATATTATTAAGTTGATGGCATGGCAGCACATTATATATCACACCTGTCTCTGTTTTGACAGTTTTATGCACGATAGGCTACTGTTAATAAACACAATGATTGACGTATTCCGAAATAATACATTTTTTAAGTAATCACAAATGTTTAAATTGTAGGCAAGATAACTTTCAAGTCAGAGTTCCACCCTATTCATTTCATTAGTATGATACCAAAGCAATGATTTATTATTTTGTTTGGTATTTGCTGAGACGGTCGAAAAGAACTTGATAGAAAATAAATCAAAGCAATTTAAGATAAATTCCTATTTGATCCTTCCCGTTTATTTCAGAAAAGCTGATTACATAAATTGCGAACATTTATCTCTAAATCTAGTCAGTCAGTAGAGTTATTTCTGAATACGCATCTTACGTTATATTTGAAATTTCATCGAAAAGAAAAACTTGAGTGTTACATTTTAAAATATAAAAAACTGGTCACGTTTTCAAATGAATGCTTTCAGAAACTCTCCATTAAAATGATAATATTGTTTTCCATAAACCAATAGCTCATAAACGAGACAAATAATTCACGACAGTCATATACAATGAAATGGAACTCGCATTGTTATCTTCATTGTAGGAAAAAGAATGCTAGACAAAATTAGATGTTCGTAAAGTTGCCCTAATATTCTCCTTTTTTGGAGACCTTAATACCATTGGGGAAACTAAGTTCCTGGTTTGATGTTTACTTTCATTTTCAAAACTTTTTAATTCGTTAATGAACAATATACATCATAAAAACATTAAAATTATTATGAACATTCTCTTTTTTATTTAGAAAGACAGGGAACTATTCTTAAAGATACTATTGCTTACATATAATTCTTCTTATAAACCGATTAATAAATCGCCATTAAATAATACTTAACATCTAATAGTTACTGTCAGCTATTCACGAAAATATAATCTAAGTTCAAAAAAAAGTAGTGTCAAAAATTCCAATAACGAATTATGGTCGTTTACAACATTACGAATGCGTTCCCTTTTAAAATGTCGAAGATAATAGTCAACTAAAATAAATATGGAAAACAATGTTTGAATGCTTCCACATGTACTGGAAAACATGAAATATCACCAAGTGAGACACACATTATTCGCTTTACCTAAACAGTGTCAAATTTCTCATTACAGGTAAACAAAGTATTACTTTTGTGGAAACATTGGTTAAAATTATAATAGACAGCACACTGAAATCAATTTTAATTTCACAAAATCAAGAGTGATTTTTGAAAAACTTTGTTTGTCACCAACTTTAACAAAATAAGGTAAATAAATCAATGCGATTGTAACTTCTTCGGACAACTTATGGCTTTGAAAATATTGGCTTTTAATACAGTTGGAGTTTATATAATAAAATGGAATAATTTGAGGTCAACAGACAATAGTATTGAAGAATATTTATTTACGGTTTTCCAAGCAAAAGTTCTACCGATGTAACTATGTTTTGATCAATACCATTTTAGATCGGTCAGACTAGACGTTTTAGTAAGTTGATCAACATATGTAATTTCATCATTTAAAATGTCATTAGTCTTCAACTAACCGAAATAAACTTCTGTGTTAAACTATTTTCTTATACTAGACTATGACGTGATGTATAGTTTAGCCAATTCTTGAACTATTTCACAGAAACTTGCAAATCGTTTGGAACAATAATTAAAATATTTATTTTGAAGATGACTTTGAGTTATCTAAATGAACCGTTAGTGTTATGTGAGCAAGTGTTAAATGTTGTCTTAACCACATAACATATTTTAATATGCTGTTCCGTATTATTGACACCATAATACAACCACACATGTATCCTAATGAGTACTAGCACTACTTCTATTAACACAATTTTGACACAGAACAAAAATATGCATTTAGAAGAATACTGATGCATCAAACTAAGATTTCAGTATTATATAGTAATATGATGTGATAGATGATACGTTATATAATTACTTGTACCTGGTTATTATCATCAAAATCAATCATATGAGTTTCGGTAAAATACCGCCAAGTCCATATTATGTATATTCTGTAGTCAATTATTTCCACTTCTTAGTGTTCATCTTTGAGAAATAATATTGAATGTGACGAAATGAACGACCTATTTGTTATCTTTTTATTCAGAACATTTAAATGAATAAATTTTTTTTTAAGTTCTGTTATTATTATATTTTTGTATATGAATATAATTCCAAATTTACTGTAGTAATTACATTCAAGATTGATTAATATTAAATTAGTTCCCTTGTTAATTCATAATGAACAAAATAGATTGTGTAGTATACATATTAGTAAATGTTTAAGTCAAGTCAAATGAGAACTAATCTACATTTTTATGATAATTAGAAGTATTTGAGTTATAGTATAAACTAAGAATCCCAGAAATGGTGTAATCGGATCAAGAAGCACTAAATAAGCACGAACGAATATATTGTATTGAGAATTCGAAATCAAGTATTCAAAAAGTACAAAGGAATCATTAGTTCATTCAAACACCACAGTTTTTATCATTGAGACATTAAAAAGAAGATGATAAGTTATTAGCTTATTTTTTGATGATACAAGAAATAATAAGGATACTATGGATGAACTTTAACCAAAGTGAATTATACAAAATAATTGTGCTAAACAATTCTCAATCGCTTATCACATTTCTTATTAATAATTCATTATCAAACAAAATATTATCCACGTTCTCTTTAATAATTTAGTAGTAAATCGATCAGTTTTCATTGAAATTATATTGTTTAGTTCGGTAAACAATCACATAGATTATGTGGATTATTATAAAACCAAACGTTTTCTGATAAAGACGATGGTGTTTATGATAAATTACAAAGTAGATAAAATTTAATATTTTCATAAACCATTTAATTTATTTTGATTATCTTAAGTAATTGATGCATTATCCAATTTCCATTTAAAGAAAGCTCAAACCAATCGATTTTAACCATGATCTGTTCAAATCATGAGAATATACTGATCCTTCAACACTCATCAGGAGTCATCCTGTTATTCTCAAGCTAGCTAAAATATTGTTATTTTACATAACACATAGCTACACAACATGTGAACAAACATTTAATAGTAGTCAATATTTCTTTATTAAATAGCCAAACACTAGATGACAATGGTCGTGTCCTTACCATTAATATTCAGCTCTTAGCGCATATTCATTGATTTTTATTGTTCGTCAAAGAGCGCTAGTGAACATCAGTTTTAACATCATGAAATCCATTACATATTTCTGTTGCAATACGTTTTTTTACTACTAATATTTAATATTTGATGAATGAAATTAAAACCATATATTTACAATCGGTCTAGTTTAATGTTAATGATCAACAACAGTTAGTACACATGTTTTAACTTTCCAGGTTCTAACAGGCGACTGTGTGTTTCCATTTCATATGTAACATATATATTGGACACTCATTCAAATATACTGATGACGAAAAGTTTGAACATTGAGTGAATTCGAAATTTATTCATTTCTAAGACCTTTCACAGGTACCAAGTTATTTTTTCACCAAATATCTGGATGTCGTCAATTTAGGAATCTGTATGAGTCTATCAAAGATCTTCAGTCAGTAGAACGATGAAAACACTAATTGATATTAAATATTTTAATCAAATTCTACAGTTATATGGATTATAACAATAAACTAATTATTTGATATAAGGAGAAAAATAATCATTAATTATTTAATTCACATCAACTGTTCCATCTATGAAAAAAAATGGTTTAGAACATTTTAGTTTTGTGTTTTCCTTTTTCTTAACAAATCAACAGTGCACAATATCTTGATATGTCGATTAACTGCGACTGATAAACAGGAATATATATACATATATAATGTATATAAACGATTTTTTTAGTTTTACTCTCTTATCTATTCAGTAAGTTCATCGACCAATCCGATCAGTGAACTAGTTAATATATACACAAGATATTATACAAAACGCATGGTGGCTTGTTTGTTGCTATCCTTTTTTTATGAAGGATGAAACTAAAACATTTTTACTGCGGTTCATAGACAGATATATATATGAACCAACACGTTCAAATATATGGAACGTAAAGCTTTATTTTGTTATTCCCCAACCTGGAATTTTTATGTCAACCTAGTTTCGCTACCAAACAGCTTTGAACATCATCGACATGATACTGATAAAGCAGTAAGAAATTAGTAAGGCATTCACTAAGTGTTTAAACTGTCAACCGCCTGTCATCTAGAATATTCACATTAGAAAAACATTAAGTAGTCTTTTTTTCTTACTGTATGCTGTCATTATGTCTTTTCTTTTGTCTTATAGTTATGTATGTATGTGTGTTGAATGCATATGTTTGGTTGATGGCCTTAATTCGAAAAGTTGCATGCAGAAGGACACAAATTCTATAACTTGGAGCAAAACAATAGTTGTCTGATTAAAGAAATAAACAACCTTCCGCCACTTATCCACCCTTAACCACCACCGTCAACATACACACAATGTAGTATAGTTTATACAGTCAAATTAGACCTTGAACACACTTTTTAGAGAAAATTTTGATTGGCTTACCAAATTCAATAACTTTTAGTTCTGTATTATATACGATATATATATATATATATATATATATATATATATATATATATATATATATATATATATATATATAATGAAAGCAATATATTTCATACCAAAATATTGCAAATGGACATGTTTCTACATTAACAAAATATTCGGCAATAAAAGTTGATATGGACAGTGATCATATTTCAACACAACCGTTATATCATCGATAAAGAAAATTAACGTAAAAGTTATTTATACTTTATTCATACAAGTTTAAATTTACAGAAATAGTGGATTTTTGATATTTTTGTTACTCTGATAAATATACAGCATAACGATTCTGGTGAGGATTAAAGATACATTTTCAGTAAGTGAATCTTTGAATTCAATGTGTCCAATAATTTACAACTTTACATGATTAGACATAAGAATTTATGTACATGTGCATTTCATTTAAGCAGCACGTACACAAGTGTTAAAATTCCTCAGTAGTTCTTTTAACAGTTTCAAATACGATCATTATGACAAGTGATAAACATGATCATGTAAACTGGGTACATTTTCATACCCATTGACTAACCCATATTTATTAGAAACTGATCACTAATTTAATTTGTTCTCTGGTAGCTGTTGAATTGATACGCTTGACTGATATAGATTTAAATAGTTAAGAACAAATCACTGGTTACCAAATATTTATTTGGATAAAAATGATTTTAAACTCAGTTCTTAGATTAATAATTTAATGTTTCCCTGAGACGTATTCATATCTATCGTCATTATGTACACTTATAACAATGTTTGTTTGCCGCAGTAATCATAATATAAGTTTTGCACCAAAAATATACTAAAGTTATGATTTGTAAATAATGTGAACTTGTTGAACGAGATGTGTTACATGCCTTATCAAATACTTCTCTAAATATGAATGAAAACTATAAAAAAAACGAATTATGTTGATTAACCATTCAATGAATTAAGATGGACTTAAGTATAGGACGTAATAATAATGGGTTGACAAAATTCCTGATGTCATCACATAAAAGTACTTGTATTTTATGGTAACTGGCTGTAACAGAAATTTAATTATATTTTCAGAACAAG